TAACAATGCCCCCACGTCTAAAAACTATAATTTCTGTTTTACTTAAGTTTACCGACATTTTCCAAAGTGTACAAAATTTTTCCAAAATGGCGGACATCCCAAGACCAGACGATACTCGTTAATGGGGCGTCTCAAAAGGGTTATCTCATAAGTACAATAAAATGTGAATATACTACATTAACATTACAAGCAACTCCTTCAAAGGCTTAAATAAACAGCTTAAAATAGAAGGACTTGATAAAGTTGATATAAAATAGGTATCTTCAGGGAAGATTTGGAGAAGTTGGACGACGCCAACGTGCTTTGGACAAGTAACCCCGTTAACCTGCGCACGCGCAAGAATTGAGTCCCAAGCAATGATAACAACACACGCTAAAACGAAAAGGCTCACGGGTAGGCCCTTATTTGTAAACATTAACACGCTATGGCCATCTGACGCATGCGCAGGTGACGACTCCCCCGCTTTAATTGGGACAGTTTGGTTTGATTTTACGTTTCATTTTGGGAGCTCACAGTTACAAGCAGTATGATTACTCAGAGATCCAGTTTATTTCACAACTGTAATTTCAATAGGCCATTTACAGTCCAAATTGTACAAAAACCGGAATGAAAACGTGGAAAATATGTTGTTTTGTTGATCCATAGTGTACATGACACTGTTTTTCAAATGGCGTTGATGTAGTCAGTAGAAGGTCAGCAGGGTCATCATTTGTTATGCTAATTTTTGTGTTTCTTTGTTATTCTATTCACTGTGGATACGTTTTGTTTTCACGCGAAATAACAGAAGTTTCTATTTAATTTGAACTGTGTTGCGTGTGCATTTTAGTGTGCATTCGTTGTACAATTAAATACTGTTTTTATACATATTTATGTTCAAAGGCCATAATCATAATCTTGTAGTAGATGGAATCAAATACTTTGTTTTATTATCGAATTGACAATACACTGGTATAATAAAATAGCAACAACCCCCCCCCCCCCAACACACCGACGTCGGGTGTACCACTCGATATTGCACAATTCACTCCATATATGCACTCGCCTACGGCTCGTGCTTATATGTCGTAAATTATGCAATATTACGTCTTATACACAGTATAATTATAATAATTTATGGTTTAGTTAATATATTATTTTTTTTAAAAAAATTTCAGATTATTTACATCACTGTATTTGTAATGGTATGCACGCGAGTTTACACTTACCTGAGGTATTCGACACGCCTTGATTGTGAAAGAACATCGTCTCACTTTCAAACGGTGCGAAATAAGGACGTAATTGAGGATCTATCTCAAAGGAATGGATAATATACTCCTTCGCCCATGGATACGTTTCACGAAACAAAAGTACAGAGAACGCCACGTTTGCCCCGCAATCTATAAAGAACCTCCTTGGGCTTGGTAATGAACCGATGGTATTCCATTTACTGGGTTGCACCTTTCTGTTTTCTACACTGAAAATAAATGTCCAGACATACTAGTACATGTTAACACGATCTTTTGTTGCACCAGGGTAATATTGCATGCCCTTGAACAGAATACAAATCCAGTAAAAATTGAAACATCAAAAATAAAGAAATATAAATTCAGTTCGATGGTGGAATACACGATTACGAATTATTTGTTGAAATATAACTTGGTGTGTGTATCAGCATGACTAAATATGAAAAAAAATATACAAAAAATTATAAACATTCCCTCAAAGTTTACCATTTTGTTAGTTAACATGAATTGCTAGTTACCTGCGTATTGGCTTGTAATAAAGTCTTTCATTGCTCTGACCACACGCTATATTGCAAACACAAGAGTATTGGAGCACTGCAATGATGTATGAAATCATAGAGAAAACGGAAGCGAAACAAAAACAGAAGAATAATTCTTTCAATCGTGCCATGATTTGCTAGCGACGACTTTGTATATTACGAACTACGTACGCTGTGGAGTGAATAAAAAGAAACTTTATACATATAGTTAAGATAGATGTAAAACAAGCAAGAATTATTTGTGCTTTTTATTTCTATTTCCCAAAGATTGGTTGCTCTTAGCACTTCGCAAACTGTTTCATTTCCAATAGATGAATAAACTAATCGTGATGTGATATCAATTGCAGTACATAGGATTTACAGCAAAGTTTTCATGTCTTCCGACTTTCGTATTTCACATATATATCGAACATGTTCAATTAAGCCCACAACACCCACAACAAGTTGTGTAATACACGAGTGCATAAACACATTAGAAACGTTGATATTTAACGCATGTTTATTACTCGAAATTGCTAAAAATATTATCAATAAGTTTGAGCAGTAAACATTTTCCTTATTAGACAATACTTTGAGTAGATGCCAACCTATAGAAATACATTGTACAATGAGTCATGCCAATCAATATACAGTCAGAATTATAATATAAACCTTATGGTAGTTTAGTTACCCTGAAACCTATGACCTTATATTTGCATGCCACAAATAAATATCTATACCATGTACTCCACACACGTGCTTTACGCTGCTACACTTAATCAGTTAGTATTTTGTGAAATCACCATGTCTTTATATGCATGATTTGAAATTGAATATTTATATATATATATAGACCATGTAGCGCCCGCACCCCCTGGTATCTGTCTTTATATTTATAACCATTCATGTATTTACACAGCATATTAACATAATTCTATTAGCGGCCTGACATGTGAGTGGTACAATAGGGAAACATGTCCTCTTTATTGCTAAGATAATTCTGTATATACAAATTATTGAAATCTATTATAATTCGAAGAACTTTTTTCCGTTTTTTTTGAAATGTGTAACATTTCACGCGAATCGCCCCAAGCTAGTTCCAAATTATGGCTAATTGCAGTAAATCGGAACACGAGTGAATCTCTGAATCCTCGTGTTTTGGAACACAGCGAGGAGACTCTGACATGCGAAAACACAATCAGGCGTGTATCCGGTCGACCGACATTATTTCTACGCAATGTAAATAATTAACAATTCGAATATTCAAGCAAATCTAACAATTCGCCCATCCAATATTTCACCTTGTACTTCCAAAACCCAAACGCATTGCTATCGTATAGTACAATATATCGCTAAATTGGATATCGATTTCTCTAGGGTTTTGGTCAAATTCATCTGGACTGAAATATTTATCTCGGTGTATAGTTGAAGACTAGAGTTCGGGGCTATATTTGCAATGAGGCTGTGTTACTCATTAGACTGCGCAAGATTAATTTGGCTCCATTCCACACACGAATCACACTACTAATGTACAATACACATTTGCATACGACCAACAGCGATGTCAATGAGATGGATGTTGCATTGTTGTAGTCTTTACTGAAACATGAAAAAAAATAATATGCTAAGTGCGAAAATATGTTGACATTACCTCTGTAATTGCCTGTTATCTCAAACAGCGTCCACACGCTACTCCAGCTGCCACGTGTACAATCACGCGAGGAGATGTTGAACAATACAACTGATATGTAGTCGTCTACCAGCAGAACTTTTGTTTGCGCTAGTGGTAATCAGATTTGTGTGAGTGACGGCTAGTTAAGTATTTAGTGTGATTGACAGGGGAACAAAGGACTTTGCTTATTAACGCACAGTCCCTCAATAGCCTGAAATGTAGGCGTGAGTAGCCCCCTCACCGGCCGAAAGGCATCAGACCTCACTAACGCCTGACAGAATATTGTATGTCTCGTTGGTAAGATCATTACTGTTCTCGCCTTCTTGCAATGAGTTTAAATGAATACTCATTTTGGTGGGTATAGTAACACCGTCAATCAAAGCTGTGTTTGCATTGTCGGCAAAAATCTCAGACTGTGTTCAACGAGATTATAAACATAGAGCTGATGTTTTCCAGCACATTATGTCAACAAACAAATAAACTCTGTTGTGAATGGTTACTCTTTGATGGCAGTAACTATCTGACGTTCCTGCAATTTGATTGGTACCGACAAAAAATCATCGGGGGAAGTGAAATCTCCACCGTTCTGTCTGGCGTGTGTTGGGTTTGGAGCACCGCCGAGGGCGCAACTCATCGCGCGACTTCAACAACCGGTTGGGAAACGCAAATACCTCTTTTGTTTCTATGCGTGTTTTGTGTTCGTCAAATTGTTGATGTAAACGCAAGCCTACTTTTCCATTAACATAAAATTAACATATATTATAACATAATTTTTAACTAGAAGCCTTCTTGATTCACATCCACTTTGTTTTGATTTTTGATACAAAAATGGTACTTTATTTGAGATGGTACTTTATTTGCCGAAACACGCTGGGGATCTTGTCGATTTCGACGACAGTGATATCGATTGGAAGATATATTGGAAGAGAGAGTATGTTGCTGCTGAATGCATGGAAAGGGCAACAACAAATTTGAGAAGGAGAAATCGACGCACCCATCCATTATGCCAAGGCCACACACAAACTTGAAAAACCTGCATCGAACGTAGTTTATGCGTTACAAACAGAAAAGAACAAATCAAAAAATGAAGTAGAGATGTAGTTTACCTGACAGGTATTTTAATTAGTTAATTAGAAACCCAAGATGACCTCCCTTGTCCACAAAACTATATATTTTCGGAAAGCTTTTTTTTAGTATTTTTTTATGGACATTGTAGTTTGAAATGTGCACATAATATGCTTTTTTGGTCAAAAGTTTTTAAAAAAAAACTAGCTTCTAAACCATGCTTCTGTTTCCTGTCAAAATTGGTTTATGGGTACAACTGTTTACTATGAAAAAAGTGTCGTCTTGAAAATTGTCTACCAGTTGTCAATTTTGATCAAATTTCAACACTTCAAGTTTATACATAAATTAACACCCAGGCTAGTTGTCTGTAGGATTGTTGTAATACTGTTCAACTAAAACAATGCCCCGACGGCGTTTTGAAGATAAACACATTGTCAATCATTTGTGAAAATTTCAAAACAAAAGGTCAAAGCGTCAAGGAGCTATTTTTGTCAAAGTTTTGGGATGTGCACTAAAAAGAAGCCGAGATAATTGCTAATTTGCATAACAATTCACTCAGTAAGAAGTTTGCTAATGCTCATAATTAAAATAGCTGTAATAATTCCAAATTTAAATGTATTCATTATTGTTTTGATAAAGGTTAAAATAAGGCATAATATAGAGATCCCGTCATTTCTTTTTTTCACCATGTTTCTTTTTTATTATTTATGTACAGCCTTGATAAATCTTGCTAAGCATTCAAAAGAGAGAATGTTTGCACCTGTTATCTATATTTTAAAATCGTCCTTTGAGTATGTTCCATTATTCACAATTCTACAAAAATTTAACAGTCTATAGCCAAGACTGTTTGAATAATAAAAAGGAAACAAAAACAAATTTCACTCCCAAGTGCCCACGAACCTACATCTCTACCTTAACAAAACAGCCATAAAAACAGCATGTCAATAAAATAATGATTCAAGTCGGAAAAGTGCGTTTGGGAGGGTTGTACTCTAACTATAACATCGACTACAGTCGTTTGAATTGCAATCTTGATATAACATGAACAACATTTTAATGTTGTAGTTTCTAAATTCACAGTAATCTTTTGATGAGAATTTCCGAATCCGACCACACCAAAATAATTCAGTTATTTCTAATATATAAATCAACGGTTCACCAAAATTTCAGTTCAAAAACTTTGAACAGTTTTCTTCGAGCGATACTCGACGACCATATTGCCTCGTTGGTGTATACAAGTACTTGTATCTACGGGGACAAAACCGACGGTAAAATAAACCCATTAATGCTGTTTCCACACAAGATTACATATATTGGTGAACAACTTAAATATCAAACTGAAAAAAAACAAAAAAGAACGCATTTTCACAGGGTGACAACTTATTGTACAGCGTCACCATAACACGTTACCCTGCAATACACAACAGTGCTGGCTGTGAGTGTTTGCAATTGAAATTTATATTTGTGTTATTCAGTGAATATATCTTTTAAATTACATGTGTCTTATCAGGAAGCTTTTACGAACACAAATACACACGTACCTCAATATAATTTCGAAATAAACTGTATGAAATGGCACAGGATTCACTGGCGCAGAACGAAAGACAATTTAAATCTAGGAAGACCTCGAGATGCTCCAGAAGCATAACGCGCACTGTTGCTAGCGATCGGAGGATTAACATCGTTGAACAAGGACGTTTTCCAACCGGTTATTTAGGAACTGTAATTGAAGCAAGCGCATTCTTAAATATAGCCGCCAATTTGCATTTATTACTACTTATACTAAAATATGTTTGGATATTTAGAATACTAACAAATTTACAATCCCGGTCCGGTTAGACTTAATAAGGGGAATAATAAAGACATCATAGGTAGAACAATTGAAGGTGTTAAACAACAACGAGAAAACTTTTTGTATATACACATTATAAAAAAAGCCCAAACCATTTTCTTCAAATTATCATTCCGAGAATAGTTTCAATGGTGTTACATCTTTAGAAGAATAGAACAGAGTGGGCGTTTCCTGTACGTAACGAGCGAAATCACTTGTAATTGCCGACTGGGAACCTGTATCATGTACGCGGTGATGCATGCAACTATACAAATTGGACATAGATAACATTAAAAATAAGTTAAAATTAATAGTGAATCACACATTGAACACTATATATTGTTTATAACTGACCTCTCCTGCATCTACAAACACGTTATCACCCCGTGCAAATCTGCATGTTCACACAAATGTCAAGCACTCCCACAAACTAACAATTTTGTGTTTGGAGGTCTCATAGAGATAATCCATAAGAAAAACTGAAATCATATAGCTGTCTGGGAAATCCGAATCCAAACTTAGGATACCGCCTTGTTCACCTAAACCCTCGTGAATTGATCTCAGGGCTTTCGGGATTCGCTCAACATCTCTGTACGAATGGTAGTTATCCTTGGTTAAAAGTATACCTGGAAGATAAAATTTGAATATTTGTCATGAGATATGTTAATTATTTGGGGTATACGCGACTGCATGGACATATTATAACGGCTTCTGTAATTTAATAATAAGCAGTGTCCGCCACACTAAACTCCTAAAACTGACAGCTCATAATCGCGGGCAATTGGGATACTAAATACATTTTAAACAATAATTATGTTCGCAGTTCTTATATTTAATCAGTCATGCCATACCTCTCGTCGGTGGGAATGAGACCGATGGAACGATTAATCGTAAATTCCTTTGAAAAATCACTTCCAACACATTTGTACTCAACCCAGGCGGTAGTATATATGCCGGCGTCAACCATATGTCTTTCATTCGCTGTTCCGCACTGGTCACCGACATTCGCAGCACTTCCTTGTTTTGTTTTTCCCAGTGGTCGCGCGGAAGCGGACCACTTGCGCGGATGTTTATGTCAAAACGTTTGCTCCATTTTATGACTAGATCTGGAAACATTTCCACAAAGTCGCCATATACAAACAGAGTTAACGGCACGTTGAATCTATACGCTGATATGGTATCAACTAGTCGTATCGCTGACTTCAAATTCATTCCTATCTCAATGACGATGCTAACCATTGTATGTCCGTGCTTGGGAATGCACTGGTCCAGAATAGTTTGTGTTGCACCTGGTGTGTTCGCTGAAATCTGTAAATTATGAAATTGAAGCATAAACGATTGCACTGAGGTACGAATCAATATTTTTGCCGGAGTGGCACAATTAGTATTTTTGGATAAATTGTTTTTTGTTCACTACATAATATGCATTTTTTTTAAATATTTGTTTGTGTGTGTGTTTTTGTTTTTAATCTTATTCCTGATTCTATTCTGGGCTAGACAACAATACTATTCGTTTTCGTTCGTTAAAACTTGCAGAAAATTGCGTGTTTCTCTCTCAGAATACTCATGAATACTTCGGCTTCAATATCACCAATACTCATCTGATTCCATCGTCTGTTATCAAGTAGAACGCTGTCGGGCTGTCAGAAAGCGCCCCACCAGCGTTCTAAATACGTGTACGGAGAAAGACAATCTGTTATTTAAAAACAAAATGGCGACATGAACTACCGATATTTCATGCATCTCGTCGAAATCAGCAAATCTGTGATTTTCTCCAACCCAGTCCAACATCCTTACACCAGTGAAGTTCATCCAATCTCTTATTTCTCTTTTATCATCTGCACTAAAACCCGTGGGTTGCCAGTCATGAAACTCTCCATATAACCTAGAATATAAACATTATATATAAACGACACATTTTCGAATAACGCAACGATAAAAAAACATTTATTATTGAAGTACACTTTGTATATAAATACACTGTACAAATCCAAAATGAAAATTTATAATTATTCAAGCAGAATATGGGATATTTTAATGTGTAAACCCCTGTGAAATAAAAACCAATCGTCTTTCTTATAATGTTTCGCTAATCACAAATGCAAGGCAAAACGTATTTAGAACAGAAAACAGTGGATGATAGTGAACATTGCAGACAAACAATGGTGTGAATGAGAAAACATTTGAATACAGAAAAGAGAATTTGTTGCCATGTGAAAGAATATTTCATTCGTTCTAGTCGCGACGTTTAGTGATGATGCTTCTATGACGTACAATTGTGAAAGAATGTCATTCAAAGTGTCAATGTAATTTCAATTCGCAGTCGTCGGTCAAACAAAAAATGTTTTAAGAGATTCGACATTACTGCTAACCATGCACGCCATTTTGACATCCAAGTCCCACTTCACTACGAGAGGGCGTGACATATAGTTTTATTGTGACTCGGCAACTGTAACAACATCCATAATATGCATACTTATCAATCCAGTCAAAAGTTCCCTCTCCAATCATCTTTTTAATTATACCATACTCTGCGCCCTCAACGTCCAGTTTCAATATAACATAATCTTCTTTATTAGTATTTGTTTGAATCCACTGCGATAGATCAACTACAGGGACCTGAATGTGACGGGACAACTTTCGGCTTCCGCCATCTTGAGCGTTTTTCTCGTTATCGAAGGCGAATAACGATCCTCCGCCCCACTGCATATCTCTATGTGCGTTCACTTTTTCTGGATACCACGCCCCTTCAAGATATGCTTGTAACTTTCCTACAAATGCAAATTATTACAATTTAACTTCTACGATTAAATTATAATGATTTTCAGTCAATAATTTACCTTACGTCGGCGTTAGAGAAAAACAGGTGTGAGTACGTTACGCCGACGCAAATGATGGTGTTTAAACTCCAATTGAACTCCAGCAACGGCGTAAATATTACATTAAATACAGATGACATACAGTGGCTTAAATATGGCGTTGGCAACACCAGCGGCCATTCGCGAAGGGTTTGTAAGTGGATTGGCATTCCGAACTGAATTTTAGTGCTCGGTCAGCTGTGTTTAAGTTTTATCTTATTTTAAAGTAGGCAGAGTCTTAATTTTTGTCAAAATGTTTGTCAGTTTAGCTGGTTATATGCCTGTATATCTTGTTAAACTAATATGGCGGAGGCAATTTACATCGGTGACTATTTACAGATGCTAGATCAACTGTATTTAATTATTTCAAAGAAGGCGGACCCGAAATGGTTGTCACATTTTCAGTTATCTGTTATTTCAAATAATTTTAATAATTATGGCATTGCGTGGACTGAAAATGTCCGCAAAAGACAGAAATAGATGTATATGATCAGCCGAAAAATTGTCTATCTGCGTCATTGTGCCCGTTACGCAATGGTCGCCATATTTGCGCCTCTTCTAAGAATTGTTGGTATACAAACTGTGTGAAATTATGGGATCCTTATTTTGAGCGCAAGTTACGTTGACGTAATTCTTTTCTTGTGCGAACACAGTAATACAATTATTGCATTGATATACACGTGTTATTTGATAAGATTTTATTTTTTCACACCTCAGAATGATCGGTAGACACGTCACTAATATCGCGTTTTCTTGCGTTCATGTAAGTTAATAGATTTGAATGGACACAAAACAGATGCAAACATGGTGTATGACCAAGTTTCTTGAGTCTCTGGCGGCATCCAAGGATGATTCACAGCAGAGAAGCAGCAAGAGGCCCAGTTTTTACACAAACCTGAAGTATTCGACACGCCTTGATTGTGGAAGAACATCGTCTTACTTTCAAACGGTGCGAAATAAGGACGCAGTTGAGGGTCTATCTCAAATGAATGGATGATATACTCCTTCGCCCAAGGATACGTTTCACGAAACAAAAGTACAGAGGACGCCATGTTTGCCCCACAATCCAAAAAGAACTTTCTTGGAGCTGGTAATGATGCGGGCGGATTACTTGACGTGTTGATCCGTAATTCTTTGCGCCCAACCCTGAAATAAATGGTAACACAGAAACGTAATTATTACGAAGTTTGCTTGATTTCATGCGGACAATGGGAATGAAAATTATTGAACACAATTATAAATATAGCTGCATAGCAGCGATGACGGGTTTCGAGCCTGCGTGGCTCGTGGCAAATTGCACTTGCTCGATGTGATTATTTGACGAACGTTTCATGTCTAGAATGCAAGATGGCAGACAAACTACACAATATATGGATTTTATTTCACAGGAATATGATAAACGTAATGAAAGAATTCCACATACCGAATTTTGTATCAGTCTGGCAAATAGTTCATGAGTTATAGAACTTTTTCTCTTTTACTAAATCCAAGATGACTGCCAATGGAAGCCATTTTTCAATAATCCGTTTCAGTAACTTTGTAGAGCTATCAACATATGGGTCATATTCTAAATTGCTAGTCAAACAAGCAAGCAGTTTTTAAGAAGAACATTTTTTTGAGGTTTTTTGCGTGTTTTTTTTTATAAATTCAAGATGGCCGCCAAAACCACTTGAATCATGGTAAATATTTTCATGAATACGGAATTACCTTATTGAAGAGATGTTTTATGCCAACTTTGGGATCAATCTGTCAAATTTCATAAGTTATAGAGTAATTTCACTTTTTACTAAATCCAAGATGGCTGCCAAAGGAAGCCATTTTTTAAAAAATCTACTTCAGTAACTTTGTAGAGCTATTAACATAAATACTATATGCTTAAATTGATTGTCAAACAAGCAAGCAGTTTTTAGAAGATAATTTTTTGAGGTTTTTTGCATTTTTTTTGATAAATTCAAGATGGCCACCGAAACAACTTGAATCATGGGAAATATTTTCATGAACACATAACCATCTTATTCAAGGGACCTATATGCCAACTTTGGTTTCAATCTGGCAAATTGTTCACGAGTTATAGCATAATTTCACTTTTTACTAAATCCAAGATGGCTACCAAAGGAAGCCATTTTTCAAAAATCTGTTTCAGTAACTTTGTAGAACTATCAACAGAGATACTATATGCTGAATTGCTTTTCAAACAAGCAAGCAGTTTTTAAGAAGATAATTTGTTGAGTTTTTTGGCATTTTTGTGATAAATTCAACATGGCCGCCAAAACCACTTGAATCATGGGAAATATTTTCATGAACACATAATCGTCTTATTGAAGGGATGTTGTATGCCAAGTTTTGTTTAAATCTGGCAAATTGTTCAAGATTTATAGCGTACTTTCACTTTTTACTAAATCCAAGATGGCTGCCAAAGGAAGCCATTTTTCAAAAATCTGCTTCAGTAACTTTGTAGAGCTTTGGCAATATGTACTTTAAAGCAAATTTCGCATCACATGAATGAGCCATTTTTAAGAAGAAGATTTTAAAAGTTTTTTGTAAATTTTCACAAAATCCAATATGGCGGCCAATGTCACATGACCGCTAAAGATTTTATTGCTGATATTTGCTAGACATGAGCCAATGATGCCACACACAAAAACCGGAAGTTCCTAGACCCTCAGAAAGTGGTGCAATTAAGCACTTCCGGCTTGTGTTCTACCTAAGATGGCGGCCAGGTCATGTGACCTACATGGCTGGTTTTGCGGTATGCACCACAACTCATGGTCCTTTATCAGCATGAATAATAGAAAATCAATCGCAGCATTATTTTTCAAGTTACAGTGGTTACAATAAACGGCGGAAAAATAATAATAAGCAAAGCAATTACAATAGGGTTTCGACCCATAGGGCTCGAAACCCTAATTTCTATTCAAGAAAACTGTTGCTAAATTGATCAAATTAACCCAAATAATCTTCATACGTTAAAAGTAGCACATTAGGAATGGGAATTAAAATTCTGTCAAGCATAATAACAGTTATTAGATGACACAATGACCTACGCGCATGCCCATTACATTTATAGTACGTATCAACAATCCAACATGCTTGTGCATTTGTGTGATTGTGTTTTACATCATTATGTTTAATCAAAACATAGTACCTGAGCAATGGTTTGTAATCGACACCTTCACTCTGATCACGTGTTCCTAAGTCAGTTGTCAATTGGAGCGCATCGGTGACGTAAACACAGTAAACAGTCACTAGAAAAGCACAGTAGAATGTGAATTTCAATCGTGGCATCATTGCGTTCTGCAGCGCTATCGTGTCTTACGGGCTGTGTAGTCTGTGAGACAAAGGAAAAAACACACTATGAATTTTGTATTAGGGGTGAATCGTATGAAATAAAAGGGCGTTAGGAAGAGCATTATGTTTTAGCGGTGCCTTCTCTGGACGTACATATTTGTCTTGAATGTGCCAAGACGTCCATCTGTAATACAAGATGCATTTTTCTCTCTCGTTGTCTAGCATGCAACTTTTTTGAGAAATCTTCTAGCCACACCCCTCTATAATTAACATGATAGAAACTTATTATCTCGATGCATAACATATAGAATCAGATCAATTTGACGATATTTATAGCACATTTCCTCTTTTTCCAAACCTCTTTTCTCATTTTCATCAACAGGTGGAGATAATGTACAACAAGACACCGAGGAAGTGACGCGCGCGATGATGGGGTGCAAACAATGTGTTAGGACATGAAGATAAAATACTTTGACCGCCATGGTTAGATTTAAAGGCAATTAGACATATTGTATTAATGTGGTTTATAATTTTGCCTCTCACCTCTGTAAACTCGTACTGTATCACACATACAACTATCTCCACGCATACGACTACGGACTAGACCGTGCCAGAACACACAGTACATGACAGTGTCTCGCTGAAGAGTAAAGATATACGTTCAATTTTCACAATTTTCCGCGTTATATGAGACAATTAATTCAATCGAACATTTTATTTAGAGTAACAGGGCCAGCCATGTGTGAGACCTGTCAACCCGACGTACACCATTAACCGACTGCCTATTACCAAGGCTGCGAAGGAGCATGAATATTATCAGTTCAATTAATCAGTCATCAGGGGCGGATCTAGAATTCTGGAATAAGGGGGGGGGGGGCGATAAGTTTGGCCGAAGGCCAAGTTCGCGAGCGCCGATTGCGCGAAGCCCTGTTGGTTGTTAAAAATAGGGGGGCGGCCCCCTCAGCCCCCTCTAAATCTGCTCATGGTCATGTACCCGACACTCCTAGTGACATCAAGGCTATCAGTATTGTAACAGCGCAATCGATTAGTGCCACCAGCTTGCAGAATATTGCGATGCAAGTAATAGGTCACCGACCTTTTACAGTTCGTCATAAAAAGGTCGAATCGAATATAGCAACTCATATAGATTGATCCAACAATTTCATTGTCATCACTCCCTACGTTATAGGTGTCTCAATCTAATATACTGAACGAGAACAGCGTGTTCTTTTGGTTTTATTCTGCATTTAGGATTCAGCTAGGTTTCCCGAGTTGAGGACGGAGCCGAACGGTTTGATACAGATTTTTTATACTGGGAGTCAAAGCTCTGCTGATTCGTGAAACCTAGCTGATGGTCCCGGCTCAAACGACTGCATTCACACACATGTATATACATTTACCGACATACTAGTCGTATGCTGTGTAAACCGGGGATAATGACGATAAATGTAGAACTTGTCCTACATCGCCGTAGTCTATATGGACTCACAATTATGTATATCGAAATGAGAAAAAATATATATATTTATTCGACATTACCTTTTTAATCGCCTGTTGTTCTCTCTCACAGACTGAATATTAGAGCTGTCTCAGCTGCTACGGATTTACCGCCGATTTAATCACGTGATTCAGCAACCCGTTGAATTACTAAAATCGAAGTATTAAATCGCGGTACTGTGCTTCGACACAAAACGTAGATCGGAAGTGCCACGGTGTCATTTGTTTTATGTACACGTACTGTACTCCAGTGAATGAACAACTACTCGATAAACACACAAGCTGTGTTAGTTCAACATTTATGTGGATTGAATGCTGTCGATGTGTTATTGATGCGCATGTGACGACAAAAAAAATGTTCACTGACCTCTAAAGGGAGAAAAAAAACACTAAATGCTGTTTTACTGAAGACATGGCAGTAGGTCACATGGCCGGAAGTGGTTTATCTGCACAAATTTCAATATGTCAATTTCAATCAACATTTTAACTACTGAACATCATATACATATAAATCAAATGTAGAGACACAAATCAGTTGAGTGATTACCACACATGACAGAAAAAACAAATATTGGTATTGGTAGGGGTGGAGGATTTCATGTTTGTTAGGACTAGTTGTAATGTGCTATCTCGTTGTTTTCAGGATGCAGCCTGATATTTTTTGCTTTCTTGGTTGTTCAAACATGTCTACAATTTTTGTGGTGGATGAAAGATGTATTCATCGGTTGTTGTGCCATTGTTTAGACACCCTGCAACTTGAAATGGTATGGTCCAAATCAAAATGTTATGGCGGTGTCTTCTAAAATCATGGCATCAGAATGATTTATATTTATTTGTTTATTACTGTTGTAGATCCTGAGAACTAGCCACTGAATATGATGTCGGGAATAAATGGTATTCTGAACAAGCTTTATTAATTATTACTGGCAATATTCCAATATGAATTGGGAGCAAACTGTTACACCAAATCTAGTCGTATTGTTATGCTTGTAAAATGTTTTTTTTTTCAAATGTCTTGAAATTTAATTTCAAATTCAGATTCAAATTTAAGGATATGGATTGTAAAATATTAATTAATTAATTAATTTGTATTTGGTAAATTTATTTTAAAGAATTCAGTGAAAATATTCTTATAGCATATTCCATTTTAACATAGGATCATGGTCGTTTTTACAAATAAGAATTCCGTGATAGGACACACTGAATGCCTTCAAATGTGTGTGGATATCCCTGTAACATGTATATAACACTTATCAGCCAATCACATTCGCGCATTGGGCGGATAATATATTTAATTTTTGACTTCTCAGGGGTCGAAGACGAAATATAAGGTGTCTGAGCTTGTGAAGACGTTGTGATTGTATTCTCGGAGAATTTATAATTTAAAATTTTGAATTTTAACACTCTATTCTCCATTATGAAACATCAAATTGTTTTCCCGATATTCACAACGTAGTACAACTTACAATGAGTGTGTGCTCTTTTTATTGTCTTAATTTAATTCTAAATGGAAATTGGCGGCCTTGTTGTTTTAGAATCCGCTTGTTTTAATAAGCAATGTCCTTTGTTCCCTGTCAGTCACATTCAGCACTTAACTACCAGCCACTTCTACATTGAGGCCACAAAGCTGAATACCACTAGCGCAAGCAAAATTTATAGACTACCATAAAATTTATGCTGGTAGCCGGCTGCCATGAAGACGGGAATGTGCTCTACAATGGACGTATGTTTGTCAGTGCAACATTGACGTGTGTCATTTTGTGAGCGTATCAATGACTTGCAATTTAATAGTTTATTAGAACTCGCTGTTTGCAAAAAAATAAATATTATTTTATTTAGAATATATTTTGTTATATTATTGGGAAAACATGATGGCTTATTGATTTGATTTAATGTATGTTACTTTTTGTCGTAATTTGCGTATTGGTTACACTGTTCATCATATCCCGTGATAATTAGGCCATGGGCCAGCCCTTGACTCACCCCCCTATGGGGATTTTTCAAGGGTGTGCCTGACAAGAATCAGGTTGTCTGCAATCTGCTCAATGGTGGGCGTGGCCACACGACCGCCATTTTGAATATATAATGAGAAAACGTGTGAGCAGGCAATTAAGATGAATGTAGAGGAACATATATTAACTCACATGATTTATTTGTTCAATAATTGTTGTAACACTAATGCAAACCACATGCATGTGAAAAATGTGTCAGTGTACTTCCTCTGGCACTCATTTTAACTCCAACACCTTATAACAATCGCTTAAACACTGCTAAATATAGCTTCATGGTAGTAACTCTAAATAGAAAAAAACGATGTCATTTACTTTGCACATCTTTTAATAATGATTGAATATCTATTTATATTTCCATATTTGAAAGTCTTATAGAAAAAAAGTATACATATATGTAGTAGTAGTTACCGTGTTTCCACGTTTTAAGACATTGGTCAAAATACAAAAACAAATCAAAGCCAACAGCAAATTAATATTCACTAATATTGTGCATAAATGTAAGACACAAATAGTTATAAGTTGAATAATCAATTCATTAAAATAATCAGTTATTTATTTTAATATTAATTAATTAATTAAATAATTCGTTCAGTGATATGATTATTTCATCTACTTAGTAATTTGTTTTAGTTATATAAAAGTTATATTTACTTCCCTTATGCATGGAATTCAATACTTTTGTTTTGTTTATTATTTTACATATTAAGTGTTTTCTCAGTATTCATTGTAAGTAAAAATAATTCAATGTCATTGTAAAGTTCAATTCACTTTCATTACTTCCAAGTTTGCCAGTCAGTAATAGTTGAACATGTCTAATGTACACAGCACTGACAAAAAACGTGTCAACTTGAAATCCTCCAGATTGAGAGCTAAACAAACAAAGAACAAGGCTCTGCAATGCATAATTCATTATTCCAAAAACAAATCAGAGAAGAAAACTAGATCATTGACTGAAACAAGTTTTCAGAAAATCAAAAAATCTATTGAAGTTCGCCAGAAAAGGAGCACGGCAAATGAAAAATTGCATGACATTTGCGCGAATGTACCAACCAATTTCAACAAGAACTTACATGGAACACATAAGTGGTGCTACAGCAATTTTATAAATGTATCCAAGGTATTGAAACGACGATCTCTTCTGATGAAGATGAAGGTGAGCCAAGTACTTCAAAGAGGCGAAGAACAACACAGTCTCCATGTGTAGTGTTTCCTGCAAATGGATGCCTGTTCTGCCACAAAAATCGTATAAAAAGACAAGGCAAAGAGGAAAAGCTGGCACAGTGTGTAACAGAGTGCAGATATGTCCATTAAAGATGCTGCAATGAAAAAGCAAGACGGACTTGTGTTGGTCAAGGTGCAGGATGTTGACCTAATAGCCAAAGAAGCACACTATCATCCTTCTTGTCGTAGAGATTATACTCGTACAGGGGATCGACATGAAAGGAACACTAAGTATAGAAAGGCCATAGAGGAACAAAAAGCTCATGA